TAGAATTCCATTTAGTATACTCGTGTCTTGTATACTTGCCTTGTGTGTTTCCAATCTCGTTAGTATACCTGTGTTTTGTATACTTACCTCGTATGTTTTCATCTTCGTTTAGTACACTTGTAACCAGTATGCTTGTATGTCGTGTATCTCATTTCAATTGCATGAGCAGCTTAGGATGATCCCTGAGTCTCACTTTGACATAGACATTAGGTGGCATGCTCCTTTTGAATTGTTTCATATTATTGTAAAAATCTGTAAAAAGTTGAGTCTATGCATGCTCATTCCCTACGAATAAACTTGTTTACTCACCCCAAAGTTACCAGGTAATTTGTTAGCTACGGATGCCTTAGTTTGGGATGCACAATATCCCGGGATTTTTTCGATGAATTAAAGTTCTTTAAGTGTATTCTTGTTCATGACTCTTGTAAAGGTTGGCTTGAAATGCCACTTATAACCTTTTATGTCAAAATGTGTATATTTGATTCTAAATATGTATTGTGTACATAAGTACACCTTTTGTAATGTATTTGACATGTATGAGATGAGGCCGGAGGCCAATGACATGTATCTTGTATTCTATGTAATTTTTAACTTCATGAAATATTAAGGAAATATTGAAAAATGCTAAGTTATTGCTTCACCATGTTTGCATCGGGTATGGGAATTTCATTTTCATTCTTTCATAGGGTCTTATTAATTATGTATGAAGTGTGGCCTGTTAATTTTGGATTTTAAAATTTTCATTTCAAGTTCATTTTCGCCTTTTTGGCTATCGAGGGGTCGAATTTTGACTCGGCCATTTTTGAGAGTCGCGGACCATTCTCGCGCGCTCAAAATCACTATTTAAGTTTGCGTGCATGATCTTTTTCATGAAAAACTCTTTCGTTGGTGAAATGAGCCTCCTATGGACTCATTTCACATTTTTCTTGCATAATCCGGCTTAAGGGCATTTTGGGGATTTCCTTTGGGAAATAACTTCCAGTCTTGACTTCGTCATACAGAAAATGTGATTTTAGGGGGAGTTTCTTCACGAAATTTTTCCGAAAAATGTCATCTTGGTGTCAAAAACCGTGTTCCAATCTCACTTTTCTACAATTTCACTATTTAAGCTGCATTTTACTGTTTCTGTTCAGGTTGAATAGGTTTAAGAAATGTCATTTTTGGTCCAGTATAGACGTTCTGTCCATGTTGAACTGGTTCAAGAATGTTGAACCGGTTCAAGTCCTCCGGAACCTCTTTTGCAGGTTCAGCTTTGGTCTTCCAACTTCAATATGACGTAACTTTGTCGTTTTAACTTCAAATTAGTCCGTTCTTAAGTCTAAACGGACTACATTGAAATAAGCTTTCCAATGGTATAAATTTTAGTTTCAGATTCTTCTTTTACCTCGAGATATCCTTGTTTTAGTGAGAGGGTGTCAGATTTGGTTCGAACCGGGATAGGGTTCATTTGGGTTTTATCTTCCTTTGACCTTAGGACTTTATGTGAAGTTACCAAAGGATGTTTTTGACTTCATTTGACTTGTTAGAAGTTAAATTCCTTCCTGTTATGGTGAATGACTATTTTACCCTTGGTCCTTCTTTTGGTAGGGTTTTGATACGCTTATTTTCGTTTTGCTTCCGTTGAGTCTCAAAACTCTTTGAAAATCCATTCTTGTGTCCTAGGGATAACGTACATCTCTATGGACTTGTTTTCATTTTGCTTCAGCATTTTGGATCCTCTTCGGGTCATCACAAGACACACTGGGTTGAAAAATCTAAGGTCGTCACATAAACAGTGCCTAATAACATTTAGAAACCAAGTACCCAACTTCCTATTTGCAGAAACATTATTATAGCCTTAATTTAGTTTTCTTCAGTGAAGGCTCGAGTTAGCTCAAGCTCTGAGCACAAGGCTCGAGCCCCGGAAATCCGGCTCGAGCTCTGAAAGCGAAATTCCAGAATTCTGAAAAATAAGTAGCAACCTATGTTTAAGGGATCATAACTCTTTCCAAAGTTGGAATCTAAGGCTGAAATTGGTATCATTGGAAAGCTTACTTCGAGCTAGTCAGTTTAGACTCAAAAATCACTCAATTTGGATTTAAAATAAGGAAGTTATGATCATTTGAAGTTCAGGTCGCTGTGCAAAAAATTTTGTAGGGCAGGGCTCGAGCTCTGGGACTTAAGCTCGAGCTCTGGGAGTACAGATTCGTATTTCAACACTGTTTTTCAGTATAAAACACATAGAATTGATTCCTTAAAGGTAAAGGATGTGAGAGTTAAGCAATCCTACCTCAAAGAAGCTTGAACCTTTGCTACAAACACTTTAAAGCAATCCAAAGTATGAATCAAAGCTACTAATTTGAGTAAAAATGAAAAACACCCCTCTTTTGTAACCAAAACTCACTTCTTTTAAAAATAAATTCAATTCCTAGTAATGAAGAAAGGATCACAAATTTGATACCAAAATGAAGCCCAAGACATCAACTACACTTTTCATTTACAAACACCTCTCAGAATCCCAACCAAAAGGCTTCAAAATTGCATGACAAGAAAATGACTATAAAGGAGAACAAAAGGGACGAAAGTTTTCTTCTGCAGAACTATATTTTGTATATATTTTGTTTTCCTTAAACTAATTAATGATACATACAGGAACAAAATAAAAGTCTCGTCACACATATAGGTGTCATGCCCACAATTAAGTCAAAAAGCAAAACCTAATGACATGATTAAAACACTCTTCCCTCTTTATCAAATGCCTATTATGCCTTTTGCATAATTAAAGTTTATTTTCCCCTTTATAAAATAAACAAATGACATTAAAATAATGTAAACACATTTGCAAAATAATCATAATTTCCGACAGTAAAATAAAAGCATAAATGCCAACATGCTCGGAAAATAATAAAAATATAAGTGCTCACAATTGTTATTAGAGGAGATTTTTTCTTCGATGAAAGTTATTTTGAGGATTTAATTATTATCCTAGTTTTTCTTTCTGCATTTTATTAATTCTTTATTAATTCTTTTGTATTTTGCGTTCGTTTATTACCATATTATTTATGATATTCCCGAGTTTTTGGACGTGGGCCTAACCAACTTGCACTTGGAAATTCGGGGGTATCACAAAACCCGGTTTCCGTGCTCTCTCTGGCAAAAAGGACGGTTGGACCGTCACCACATCCTCCATCGCTCTCATCTTTCCACACACTAAAGACACACCGAACTTTGGATACCACTCCGAATCAACGAGTATCGGAGGACTCATAATCAACTCATTCGTCACCGATTTTCCCTTACCTATCTTCGAAAGGCTTTGTTCTGCGCATTTATCTACAGCGACGACGTTCTTGCACTCCCATGAAGGTGTCTCCGGCGAGAGTCCTAGCTTCTGACGCTTCTGCTCATTCTCAGTCTCAGGCATGGCCACATTGCCGACGAGATTATATCTCTGGATTGTCATTCTCTGGTGCCTCGCTGCTCATGAAATCTGTCTCCAAGGCTAAGACTCCTCGCCCTCACTCACTATTCCACAACAGGTGTCCGCCATTACTAATCCAAATTCAAGTACAAACTAAACTCAGTATTTTTTTTATTTTTTATTTTTTTTTTGAATTCCTTAACAAATTGAAACCCTAAAAAACGCACCTCAATCAACTATTTGTGAATTTAAATGAAGATAATCAAAATCAAAATATGAGAAACACAGTTCTAAATTTCATATTAAATCATTCTGAAACCCTAAAAAAACACTTCAATTGATTGAAAATTAAGATCAACTAAACACAGCTATTCCGGTGTATCTCAGTAGCCTTAGCCATCGACAACCAAAACTGAAGCTCATAGACCTAGTTCGGTAAAGTCTATAGAACCAGTCCGGTGAAGCTTACACAACAACGAGCTCCAAAAACTATAACAACTAGTTCTGGCGACGGCAACTAAACCAGCACATTCCAGTTCAGAAACATCCATCTTTTCCGGCTACGAGATACGGCAAACAAAACGTGTGCTTCACTTTAGTTCTGTCCGGTAAGCTTTATCTCAGACTTACAAACCTCAAGCAACAACAGAAGCTTCAACCTCCGACGAGCTTCCCTTAATTCGTTTTAAAAATTGGTTCCACGGTGATCTTCAAGACTCAGTCCGGTGTAGGTCCGGAGTGCCACAGTTATGGTGGCATAGTTTGCCACAACGATGGGTGAAGAAGATGAGATGGAGAGGAGAGACAAAACTCAAAGGAAAGAAGAGAGGAGAGAGATGGGTTGCTAAAAATGGACAAAACGATCATTTTAAGTTGCCTATATTTTAACATATTAATTTATTCTACTGACATAAAGGGTATTACAGTCATTTTAAGTCTATATAAATAGTAGAGGGCACGAAGAATATAAAAATCCTCCTACATTAAGTCACATAGAGTGGGAGTGTGAACAAATTCGAGAGCGGGAGGATGAAAACGTAATAATTAAGTTATAAATAGTGATAATTTGAGACAACGTGTGAGAAGTACGTTCGAAGTGTAAAAGTGACACCCGTTGAGAAGGATTTGAAACGTTGGAATTGATAATTTGAAACGTTGTACTCCTACCTATATTTTAAATGCAGTCTGAATTATAATACGACGCCGTATGTCGCGAAGACTAAACATCTTCTTCTGTGATGGAGATTTTCTGATCACGACATTGACTATGGTATTGAAGATTTTTAGGAATCTTCAACGATGCTACGCCAAGAGGGACGTAGAGGAGAACTTACTGGTGGCGGATGAGGAAGCCTTCCTTCGTGTAGACCTCACACGTCCTGACGGCGTCTTATACTGTCACCGTATGTCGCGAAGACTAAAGCCTTCCTTAGTGTAGACCCCACACGGCCTGACGCCGTCTTATATTCCGTGTCACGAAGAATATAGACAAAAAAATAGTGTTAACAGGCGTTGAAGAGTCAACAGATCCGACGGCTGTAATCACACGCAACAGGTCGTTCTTGAATTTTGGATTCAAAATATAATGATCAGCCGTTACTAGTAGTGGTTGGTTGCAGTAGTAGATGTTGGTAAATATTAATCTTGGTTGGTTAACCAATCCATTCCCCTGCTCATCTCTCTCTCTCTCATCTTTCTCTCTCTACAATTGGGTGGCCACCACCGGTCCACCGGCCTTCAAAATTCACATTATTGGAACGAGGAAGACTTGGGGTGTCATTGGGTCCCATTTCATCAGTTTTTCGTTTGATTTTCCCCGGAAATCATAAAGAAATCCACCAAATACCTTTCAGGTATTGAATTATTTTCTTTTTTCGAATCATTTCACAACTTTTTTTTTTATCTTAATCTTCCTATTAAAGATAAGATTCTGTTCTTGTCATTGTGTGAAGCATCAAGTTCACTAGTACTCCCCTTGCTCTTAAATTCTGATATATATATACACACATTTGTGCACAGAATCTGGAAATTAGTTGGATAATTTGCTCGTTTGTTAGAGGTATATGGCTTGGAGGAGTATGATATCTCTCTGTTCTTTTCAGAATCTCGGGAGTATCTTTAAGGTTGGTTGACTTCTTGTTACTGATTCTTTTTCTTGTTCTTTTCTCTACTTTTTCTGATATATATTATAGCTTGATTATGCATTAAAACATTCCTTTTGGTATAGAAAGTGTTTTACTATGTTTTAATTGATAGGTAACTTTTTAATCGCAGAAAAATATAACAAAAAAGAAGAAGAAAAGTTTTGATGCTAAGTCAATTTGATTTGAGATTGTGTGGTTGATTGATAACTCAAAGATGTAGACAGGTTCTTCTTCCAACTGTGATCCTACTTCCAAAAACCTCAAATTACCTGGTCATATACCCGCGCTATATATGTCCAAGTCCTTCCCCCATATCGTCCCCATCAGAATCCGATTTCATGCTGTTGGGTGATGCTGCATACCCGCCCATATATGTCCATATCCTTCCGCCAGATCTGATGTTGGGCACTCTACCCAGGTGGGCGCTTGGCGTGACATTGAATCAAAGATTGGGTTTAGCAATTGACTCTGATACCACTTGTAACGGATGGGGCATTTGCCTTCTAACCCAAAATCTTAAGTTATTGGGTAGTGCTACATACCCTCTCATGTATGCCCAACTCCTTACCATCCGGATCCGATGTGGGACAACTCCCTCTAACATCCTGTCATATGCACGAACTAGGAAGGATCAAAATTCAACTACATAGCTGTACTCAATGTGCAACTATTCAGTTTTGCGCCATTTTAAGGGTTGGTTTGGAAAATTTTATTAAATTCACAAGCAAGGTTTGACATGCCAAACAAGTAGTTTCGGGTAGCTTCTGCAACCATCTGTTTGATGATGCTATTTTTAATGCTTAATGTTTGATGGCAATGGCTTTAATTATACGTTTTAACAAGCTCAGGACTAAGTAGTTCAGCCAAATTGAAATGAGTAGGTTAAGATGACACAGAATAATGTGTCTAAGCTGCTGTGCTTCTCTAGAAGTAATTATCTGTCTAATATATATTAATATTTGTTTTGATTCGTCTACATATCATCTTTATAAATAAAAAAACGGCCTATTATGTTTCCAGGAATAGTTTAGTTTGTTGAGGATGTTTCTGAATTATTTATTTATTTTCTTTTTGAAAGGCTTAATCCTAATGGAAGTATAGAGTTTCTTCATTAAGATTTCAGAGCTTTCTGTGAAACTTTATGATGCTATTGTCTGCTTCGATAGGCATGAAAACTGTGTATGGTTACACCAATTGTCACAATGAAAACTATTTCTTGGAAAATTAAGAAGAAAAAACTCATATTGCAATAGTAGCTTTAAGAGCTATATTCTCTTCTTTTCGAAAGAAGAGGTGAAAGTAATGCATGCCCCATTGTTTTTCACCAGATTAGGAAACATAATAAATAATTTGATAATGTTTTTTGTAATGTGGTGACCTCATGAAACTTGAGGTTTCATCGATGACAATTTCAATGCAAAAAACAGAACCAATGGTCTTCCATTGTTTAATCATCTAAGAAATCAAACCCTCGAGAAAGAATTTCTCAACTAAAAGCAGTAATGAGTTTGTTGCTTGTGCTATCAACCTATTATCATTTTCTGTTACTCAATGTTTGTTTGGCAACTTCATCAGCCGTTTTGATGCAGTTTATGTTTTCTGGTCACAGGGTAGAGCGAGGGAGGCGGAGCTTTGTGCACACACTATTAAGTCTCATGGAGCCACGGTTGCGAGGAATCACATGCATGATTGGCTTATATTGCTTCTTCTTGTGGTCATAGAGATCATTCTATTTGTTATAGGCCCGTTTCATCGCTTTGTAGGGAAGGATATGATGACTGACCTTAAATATCCAATGAAGGATAACACAGTACCTGTGTGGGCTGTTCCTGTGAGTTTCTCTTTTCCATATGTTTATCAATTATATATCCATGTATATATACGGGGTATTGGAATTCCACGCGAAAAAGACTATCATGTTACTTGATTTTTGTAGCAATGGTAACAAGTCTAGTCTGATTTTGGTGGAGGATGAAAAAGATTTGCTTCATAACATATACGGGATCGGTTTAGGAAATTTAAAAAATATTTTGCCTTTTCAACATCTAAGGATCTCTTCTAGCTGAATTTTTTTTCAGTAATGATTTTGATTCTTGTTTTATTTATTTAATCTTTTGTCAGGTATTTCTGAAGAAGTGGATTTATGCCTTTCATTTCTTCTGACCCTTTTTCATTGTTGTATGTTGTCATGTTGATTTCTTGAAAGAAAGTAAAATTCATGACACATTTCACCTTTATGATCAGATGTATGCAGTTTTGTTGCCTATTGTCGTTTTCCTTTTCTTCTACCTTCGTAGGCGAGACGTCTACGATCTGCACCATGCCGTGCTAGGTACCCATATGTATTGCCTTTTACTAATTCAGTGGCAAAATTCTCCTTCTGCTCCCAGAGAAAGTGCATGGTTTTCACTAAAGATTTGTGCATGCCTTAAGTGCAGGCCTCTTGTTTGCTGTCCTGTTAACTGGGGTCCTCACAGATTCAATAAAAAATGCGGTTGGACGGCCTAGACCTGACTTCTTCTGGCGTTGCTTTCCTGATGGAATAGATGTATGGTTTCTTGAACCCCAACTATATATTTACTTTGTTGCGTATATATCTTATGCTTTCAATGTCTCTTCATTTTTGTAGCTTATGTTGTTTAGTGGTGTTTTAAGATATTCAGAACAGGGCACAAAATGTATTTTTTTTTTTTTTTTTTTTTTGCATTACAAATTACCTGGTTACATTATTTACAACAATTTGTGTTTTATTCATAAGTTTGGTGACCATTGAACAAGATTTGGAAGTTGAAAGTAAATTTGTACAATTACATAATGTTTTTTATTATTACTTTGAAATTGCTACTTAATTCTAGTAAAATCCTTCTTTATCTTTTATTTTTATTTTTGAAAGTTCAAGCAAATGCACACAGACCCGCACAACCCTTCTTTATCTTGTTTCTGATGTTAGAATTTCAATCTCATAAAAAGTTTTTGGATGCTGCTGATCAGACTTCGAAACCGAAATTTCATACTAAATACTTTCTAATTGATAGTGTTCTTTCTTTTCTCTTTTTCAGAACTATGATCAGTGGGGTGATGTAATTTGCCACGGCAAAGATAGCGATATAAAGGAAGGACATAAGAGTTTCCCAAGTGGTCATACTTCATGTAAGCAGCTCTTCCTGTTATGTGCCTGAATTTAATCTAGATCTGAATTAATAAACAACAATTTGGGAGTCATGAATCAGAAATATGTAAGATGGTTGATTGTTTAACAGAGGTACCGTTTAGCTAGTTTTATTATTTATTTTTTAAATAAGCGAAATTAAAATAATTTATTCTCGGAAGCAGAATTTGTACTTTGGTTTTGCTTCCTAATAATTAGTACATTTTAAAAAGTTGTCATGTATGTAATTAGAGCTTATGCATCAATTACGAATCTGAGATGATTAATATATTACAAGGTAACACAATTAGTTAAGTGTTTAATCCTTTCAGCTCAAACCAACAGTCTTTGTTCCCATTTATCTGATAGAAACTTCGAATTTCTTTTCAGGGTCGTTTGCGGGTCTGGGTTTTCTATCATTGTACTTGTCGGGGAAAATCAAAGCATTTGATCGCAGAGGACATGTGGCAAAACTATGCATTGTTTTTCTCCCTCTTCTCGTTGCATCTCTTGTTGGTATTTCTCGGGTGGATGACTATTGGCACCATTGGCAAGATGTGTTTGCAGGAGGTCTCCTAGGTTTGTTCATTTGAAAACTTGTCATTTTGTAAGTTAGCAAACTGAATCGAACTTTTGATTCATTGTGTGATATTACTAAAATTTATGTGATTAATATTTTTTTTTAGGTCTCTCTGTGGCAGCATTTTGCTATCTGCAGTTTTTCCCACCTCCATATCACCAGGAAGGTAGTGTCTTTGTTTTACTTTTGGTTCTCTTTCACTCTGTGAATGTCTTCTGTATGTCGTATTGTTCGAAGGACATCATCTCTTCTTTTTAGACCCGAGCATGTTCACACATGTAGTCTACTCGCGTTTCCTTATGATCTTATTAGTTTTTATAAACAAAGACGATAAAAAAAATATATTTTATTATTTTTATATAAGGTTGATATATTTATTTTGTATTGACTGTGATCCTATTATTTGTTATTATGTGATTGTATCAGGAAATTAATGATCACTGGTGTAGTTTCTTTTTCTTTCAATTAAGAAAAATAAAATGAAATAGATTCGACTTTCTTTTTCCTTTTTCTTTTTTCCCTTTTGAAGGTGTTTCGTCGATATCCGGTTTGAATTATCCCTCATAAATTTTTCTGATCTGTCTTAAATCAAGTATTTTACAGTAACATGTACAAGGTTCGAGATCTGTTCACTGTAGGATATTTAGCTTTGAAAATTAAAGATTTAACTTGGAAAGTTTGTGATAGCACAATTGGAGGATTTTTGGAAAATTTTCAAATAGCAATTTGTAGAAATACAATTATTTAAACTAAAAAGTTTAAACATTCAGCATTGTAAAACAACTGCATGCTACATTGAAGGTACTCGTATGGTCATTTGGGCTAAATAATTCATAATCCTCTGTTTGTGAAGATGATGTTGGGAAGACGAGAAAAGAAAATTCAATGTGCATGTCGGAGTTTTTTAGTTTTCGTATCATATCAAAAGTTAAATCTGGAGGACAATTCAACACTGTTTAAAAAGAATTTTGATTAATCTTGTCCCAACAGACAGTTTACATAGTTTTACTTAAATGATACACAATATAACAAGGTAGTTTTTTTTTTTTATATTTTATAATCATACTATTTTATTGTCTGTCAATGATGCATTGGCATTCTAAGCCTTTAATTAATTACTTCCTCAATCTGTTGATTTCAGGATGGGGCCCTTATGCATATTTCCGAGCATTAGAGGAGTCGCGTGTTAACTCACAACTAACACAACCCGCAAATGGACTCAATATGCAAGCCATGGATGGACAAACTGTGAATCAACAACAATCAGAGCTACGAAGCAATTCATTTATCCCACTACCTACCGAACACAACTCAAACTCATCGGTAGAGGACTTGGAATCTGGGAGTAAGTAAGGTTGTTGAGTCTTGTGATTTGTTATGGTCCCAAGCTGATTGTGTAGGTGGACTAGGCTGCTGTGAATATATATAGTTGAAGATTTTCTGTATTTGCTGATCCACAAATTTTGCAATAAGATGGTAGCTGCATAAGAGACTATGCCTCTGTGATTATAAATAAACAAGCTTTCATATTTTCACTGTATCTATCTCCGTTGAAGTTTAAACTCATTACTATTTTCGGAAAACATTTCCTTGAGTTTACCACTAGAGAGGTTCCTTTTAATTTTCAGAGTTTGGATGTTGAAAAACATTTTACGGTAACCTTGTTCATTTCAAACAGTACTTGAAAGGTTCGTCTATTTTACATTGCTTGGATCACATTATATGCCTCAGTTGCATGAGACCTTCTTTTTGTTGAATCCGATGCATGAAACTAGATAGATATATATGGCTTGCTCGGTGGTTTTTTGTCTCGGAGAACTGAAAATTGATCTCTAAATGTGTCGCGTTCCTTTGTCATGTAACGAGTGCTAGGTCTATTGGAAGGGTTTTGTTCTCGTGTTTACCTATTTTGAATCGGGAAAGAGAAGAAGCCGATTGAAGGAAAAGAGAGACAATTGGAGATGGTTTGCTTGGACGAAACCAGACTCCAACATCTGATTACAAACAACTGCACATCTAATAACTGCTTCCAAACTGCACTTCAATGTGACAAAATGTTTCATGTATCATCAAATATCTACATCAGATGTTGCAATACTCAGTTTGAATTTAAAGTATCTATATGTATAGTAAATAAATATTAATTAAATCATGGAGTAGCTATTTGAAAGATAGGGCTATATATATATAAATTATATATAATATATATATATAGGGGATGGAGAAGTGGCAACCCTGTGAAAGCTAATGCAGTCTGTCAAAATAAAGGTTCTCACCAAAACAACTGTCCCACATCGGATATAAAACAAAAATATTGTTGGGTTTATATATCTACGAATAACGCTTTGGGGTTATCTTTTGGGGCGTGGGGTTGGAGTTTGTGTATGATTATTGAAACCCTAAACCGCTCTGTGGTCAGAGTAAAAAGTTGGGGGTTGTTTTTCCGGTATTTCCCTCTTTAACAAAAGAAATGCCGACGCCACACGTGCACACTCTCCATGTTGAAAACCCATGGGGAACTAGAAGGTGGTGACTGCCGGCAAATGTACCATGTCTCGCAGTCACCGAGCCATTGGTTCATCCTCGTCTCCCATCACACCCCCCTTTTTTAAAAACAATTAATTTATCTTATTTTTTAAAAAATAAAAAAAAAAAGTTAATTATTTTGTCAATTTTATGTTGGAAAAATATTTTTAACGGAAACCATTTTACATAAAAATAAAAAATAAAAAAATAAACTTTGTTCCATAAGACTGGAAATTAAGTACTGAAAAAATTTAAGAGTTTGAATTTTAAGTACTAAAGTTTTGAAGTGTTAATTAAAAAATAAATAATTTTTAAATATCTTTTTTGAATTTTAAGTGTTCAGCATTTAATGATAAGTGATGTTTTTATCACTTAAAATTTTATCTTATTTTAAGTTACGTTTATCATTTAAAATAATATTTAAATTGTGTTATTAAAAACATTTAATTAAATAAATAAATATTTAATCTGTTCAAATTTAAGTGCTGAATTGAGTAATTAAACTATACATTTTAGTATTTTTGTTTAAAGTCCTCTTTAAATAGTTCCATTGTTAAAAAAATCTGATTGTAAATATTTCGACTTGAAAATTCACAAGTTTGTGGCGTGCAAGTAGGTCTTTTGAAACAAGACATGTGTGATGTGGGTCAACTATTTAGATTCTTACTTATAGATCACACGTAATTGAGTTAATATTCTTAGATACTTTTCAAACAATAATTAGTTTAGTAGTTACTATAATACTATTCAAAGTTTTAAGCAATATTTGTTACATGGGTAGTATTATTCAAGGTTCACTCCCCTTACGGAAAGTTTTATAGAAAATTCAAGGTTTCTTCTATTACTTGCTAACTGTATTTTTTTATATTTTTATTTTTTCAGAATCAAAACAAATAATATTAAGAAGATGCAAATAATATTAAGAAGATGAGGGAAGTTCCTCAAGAATAACATCCAACAAGTCATGGAGGCTACACTTGTGATGCAAATCTCCTATTGTGGAGGGAAAAAATCCCCTCCAATAAAATTACTCCACGTCATCTCAGATGCAAATCTGTCTTCCAAAGGCCCGTCACATTCAAGCCCAAATTGAGTGTATTCTCAGCCCAGGGTCTCAGTTATCAGCCCTCTAGACCTTTATCTAGGCCGGATCAGAAGTGTATCAACCCATTCGCTAATATCAAGCATACGGCCCATTATTCAAAGCCCAGCCAGTTACGAAGAAATCTTGCCAATAGGAGGATTTACCATGGAAGGAAATTTTACACAAGGCAAGTTCTATGCATAGAAAATTCAACTATTGGAAAGAACTCTAATTGTAAAGAAAGTCATATATGGAAAGGATTGGAGGACAAGCAATGCGAGTCCTACCATAATTCAACTATCTTTTGTGTATAAATAGAGGCCAAGACCTCTAATAAAAGGATCCCAAAATCATCTAAGCAATTCTATACTTCTCTATACATTGTTCTTGTTTATTTTTACTATTCTTGAGTGTTTTGTATTATTTTCTCTCGATCGTAATTGGTTGAGCGAAATTTTGCACTTACACTTTGGCGTCGTCTGTGGGAAACGTGTGCAAATATATTCACACTCTTGTTTCACAGGTGAATCCTGCAACTACCATCCAGAATGTCGAACGGAGGATCTTCAACGGATCAACAGACGGAGTTGATGCAGAAGATGCGTGAAAAGTTTCTACACCAGTTTGACGTACTTCGTCAGGCAAACGAAGCAAGCATGGCTCAGATCGCTTTGCTTCAACAGCAGAATAACACTATGCAAACGGCGATGGCTCAGTTGGCACCACCGCCACCAGTGGGGGACACCGCAGCAACCCCTAATCAGAATATTCCTCTGATTTTCGGGCTTCCACCTAATGGGGGTCCACCTAATGGGGCACAACCCAATGAGGCTCAGCCGAATGAGGTTCAGCAACAAAGGAAGGCAAGATCCGAGGCTGCGGCTTCAGACAACGTCCCTCATTGCACGCAGGATGAGCAAGTCGAATCCATCCATAAGCTTATGGTGTGGTCCAATGGAATCCCAGATGGTGCAGGTGTTCAGGATGCCTTTGATGAGAAAAGACTCCTGAGGATTCAGACACCTGCTGAGATGGCTAGAGAACACAAAAATTCCTTGGTCAAAACTCCTTTCACTGACGATGTGTATCTGGTTGAGAGGCCCAAGAAATTTACCATGCCTTCTTTCACCCAGTTTGATGGAACGGGGGATCCTTCTCGGCACCTAGATCATTACGCTCAAAAGATGGCTTTAGATGATCGTAATGACCCTTGGATGTGTAGAGTTTTTCCTACCAGCTTGACAGGAGCAGCACTAGAGTGGTTCAGGAATAGACCGCATAAGTCCATCCCGGATTACGTAACTCTGTGCACCATGTTCCTGGCACAGTATTGCGGAAATAAGAAGCAAAAGAAGAGCATTGCCAGCCTCTTCACCGTAAGGCAAAAGAAGGGGGAAACATTGTAAGATTTCTTATCAAGATTCAAAATAAAAGCCTCAGAAATAGCAAATTGTCATCCCGCAACTGCTATAGAGACATTTAAACTTGCGATGATTCAGGGGACGAAGTTCCGCACTTCCTTGGTCAAATATTCTCCTCCCGACATGCAGACTCTCAATGCCAGGGCCTAGATCTACATTCGGCTCGAGGAAAATATAACCCACCGAGCGCAAAATGCCACCCTCGTGATGGTGGAGAACAAGCCTCGAGAAAGAATTCCAACTTTAAAGATTCAGAAAAGCCAACGTTCCTCAACGCCGATCACCCAGGCACCTGAGAAGAGGCAAAGGGTAGAGGAAAGATTTACACCTCTCCGAACTACCTTGGCTCGGCTTTTCCAAAAGAATAAGATGAAGTTCACAACTCCGCAGCCAATAAAACAACCCCTGGAGCAGAGGGACAAAAGTAAACATTACGCTTATCATCGAGATTATGGGCATTCAACCAATGATTGCAGATCCCTTAGGCGACAGGTGGAGAATATGATCGCCAGAGGTGAGTTGGCAGATTATCTCATGACAAAGGAGTATGCAAAGCCTCGCGAGGTCTATCCCCGCAAGGTGGAAGGTACGCAAGTAAAAGTCATTCATGCAATACATGGCAGGTCTGAAGATGATCAAGAGTCCGAGGAGGTATACAGATCCAAATTGAGGGCAGCCCACAAGCTCAGGAAGATATCCTCGGTCAATGCTATCGCTTCGGGTAGCATCAGTATTGGATTCGGAGATGGCGACCTATCCAGAGTTCAACTCCCCCATGAGAATCCATTGGTCATCAGTCTTTTAGTGGCCAATTGTATGATCAAGAGGGTTTTGATAGATCCAGGAAGTAGCGCCAACATTATCACAAAGACAGTCTTTGAGCAGCTAGAGATCCCGTCATCATCTATTCGACCTACCTCCAACCCGTTGATGGGATTCGATGGCACAAGAGTATATCCCCTGGGAGTAATAGACTTGTCCATAACTGCGATGAAGAGGACTCTGAAGGAGAACTTTGTTTTAACAGATATTCATCCTTCTCATAATCTCATCATGGGAAGAGGCTTGATATACCGGATGAGAGGAGTTCCATCCACCCTTCACCAGGTGATGCAGTGCTTATCTCCGGACGGAAAAGAAGTGATTAATCTATGGGGTAATCAAGTCGCTGCGAAGGAATGCTATATGTTAACGCAAGCTAAAGCAAAGAAGGTGTCTATTCAGCAACAACCAGGTGTGGCTTCCAAAAATATACCCAAATAGCAATTACAGAGCCCTCTGCCCAAGTATCTCAAGGTAGAAGAGGAAGAGGAAATTGCGAAGCCCACCGAGAAGACCCTTGAAGCCGTGGAAGTTATCCTCGGCGACCCTCAGAAGGTCACTTATTTAGGCTCTTCCTCCACGTCCGAAGAAAAGGAGGCGTTAATTGATGTTATTCGGAGCAATGCAGATGCTTTTGCATGGGATCACTCGGACATGGTAGGGATCGATCCGTTAGTTTTCTGCCAT